GTGGAACGGGCGCTGGAGGCTCGTAATTAGGCCTCGGTCTGAGAGGAGGAACCGTGGGAGGCAACGGCCTGGGCGCCGGTGGCGGAGGCGGTGGGGGAAGGGGCCTCGGAGCCGGTGGCTGAGGTTCATAGCTCGGCCTAGGCCTGAAGGGAGGATTTGTGGGCGGGGGAGGTGGAGGAGGGGGAACGGGCCTCGGTGGTGGGGGTGGCGGTGGTCTCTCGATCGGAGGCGTGGGCCGTGGCTGCGGAGGCTCATAACTGGGTCTGGGCCTCACAGGGGGAACTGTGGGAGGAGGCTCGTAACTAGGTCTTGGCCTGAAAGGAGGATTCGTGGGGGGAGGGTAGACAGGCTGTGGCGGTGGGGGAGGAGGAGGCGGCTGTGGCCTGAAAGACGGTGAATAGTTGTTCGGCCTTCGCGGCGGAACAGTAGGCCCGGTGCTGGGACGAGGCTGAGGTCTCGGCTGCGGCTGGAATGTTGGCTGCGGAGGCGGTGGCCTGAACGTGGGAGGTGGTGGCGGTGGCCTGAAGGTGGGAGGTGGCGGCGGTGGCCTGGGTGCCGGCTCGAAGGTTGGCGGCGGCGGTGGCCTGGGCGCCGGTGGCTCATAAGCAGGTTGAGGTCTGAATGGCGGAACCGTGGGCTGCGGCCTGGGCGCCGGCGCCGGGGGCTCATACGCAGGTTGAGGTCTGAATGGCGGAACCGTGGGCTGGGGCCTGGGCGCCGGCGCCGGGGGCTCATAGCTGGGCTGGGGCCTGAACGGCGGGACCGTCGGCTGCGGCCGTGGTTGTGGCTCGATCGGCTGATAGTTTGGTTGGGGCCGTGTCGGAGGCACGGTCGGCTGCGGCCTGAATGGTTCGAATGAAGGTTGAGGTGCCGGTCTGGGCGGCGGGCTGTAATTGCTCGGTCGCCTCGGGGGCACTGTTGGATATGACGGCCTGAAAACATTTGACAAATTCTTTAAATGTCGAGGAATCTATATGCATGCGGGACTATTAAGACAGGGAGGAAGGTGCTGGAACGTGAATATATCACGGAGCGATCAGACTCGGACAACTCTTACAAGGATGAGGGATGCAAGATTAAGTACTTGAACACGAAACACAATTTGACGGCTTTCTATTGTGCCACACAGACGTTTGAAACAAGGACAATAATTAACACGCAAGCGAGCAAAACCTCGACAATCGGACACAGCACAGGCAAGTGGAAAAATTGCGAACGCTGTGATGCGCTTACTCAATTGTGTTTTCCTCGGCTAAACCGACATCCGGATCGGATTCGGAATCATTCTCTCCTTCAACGCTGAAACGGTTTATTTGGCTTCATGAATCGAATAAGGACATCTGACTGGGACTCGAGAATGTCCACCCGCAAATCGCTGTCCATGAGCCCCATCAGCGCTTGGAAACGGACATGTGCCAATTACAACGGTCCTCATGGCTCAATCTGATCCAATGACTTCGAATCGAGTTTCGAATCCGTCGCTTCGTCCAATTTCAAACAGTATAGACGCGGTGGGAAGCATGAGGAAGAAGACAATTATTGCTGAAGACCTGCATCAGAATATTGTCATCTAAACCGGGATGGTTTAGGCGGTGCGGGGATTTAAGCTCGTGGATATCCTCGTTCGGAGGACTTATGAACCGATTCTCTGGAGAATCCGTTGATACTGGCGTGAGGCTTTTCTTGCTTCTGGTAGGGACGATCTAACGACTTACACTTCATAGTCTAAGCCTCTGTCCCTCATATAGTACCGCGGAGGGAAATAGGTTTCGTGGCTGGAATCCGTCAAAGTTTTATTGTTTCTATTTCGATCAACATCCAGGATACGCTTCGAATTTCGACCGGAAATTCCGGAGATCAAAGACAATCAGCGTGAGCTCCGAGGGCTGCGACACGCAGCAAACGTGGACCGTGAGGAAGCCCCAAAATAGCATCAACTCCGAAAGCTCATCGCATCGATGGATTTCTTGCTATCCGCGTATCGTCGACTGTGCACTCTCCGAGTCGGGATGGCATCTGAGTCGAAACGATCGTACGGGAGCGACGATTTGACCCAAAAGAATTTCACCTATCGCGCACAGATTCGCGGTGGTCATGGGAAGTGAAAGCTTCGTCCCTCACTTTCTAAATCCTTGGACTGAATACTCTGTCTGAATAGTCAAGGATGCCCGCCAGCCCCTTGCCGAAGTCATCGATAGAGCGTCGTGCTGCGTCTCCGATAGAACAGCCTGTCGCGTTGAATCTCCTGTGTGATTGTACTTCAATACGCCTTGCGGCTTTTGTCGAGCGTGGAAATCGAATATCTCACAGCAGCCGTGAAGTTGAAATCAAGGTCAAGATGCCTGCTTTCGTTGAGAATTTTCATACCTTGGATCATTAGCAGCCGCATGTGGTACCGCGATGGGGTCTTCTGCTCCGGGGATGTAGTTCTGCCACCAATCGACCCACCAGTTGTCGTTATCTGAAGATGATTTGCCGGCACCACGTTTCTGAATATGGTGCTGATGTTCGGGTGACCAAGGTTCGGCTACTATACCCTGGAGAAGCCCTCCAACGAGCACTGCCGTGAGCCATGACTGGAACGAAAATATATCTCGAGTGAGTACACAATCCATCTTCACGGATTCTCCACATTCGACACTAAAAATTCTTCGGAGACGAATTCCCTTGCGACGATGACCCGTACCAAGCCCCCACAGGCACTCGACATTTTTTCTCGCGCATTCAATTGAACTTATATCAATTGAGAATATTGCTCAATATCTAACGTTCAGGAGATATCCCAGAGTCCCAGCTCCGATGAGCCTCCTGGTGAGCTTGCCATGTCAGCAATAAGTCCAATGCAAGGGTGAACGTCTAACGAGATTTCTGAGCCCGAGCCATTTGAACTGGGGCAGACCTGACCATGGGTGGGGAATTCCGTTCCGCTGAATGGGAATCGTTGCGAATGCTGCACCGCTTTCATGGGAGTATGACGTTTGTCCACTTACATACGAGGGCTGATGGAAACCTCACTACTCCTCGTCCTACGGTATTGCCCCATACACGGCGTGACATTAATAGTCTCGACCGCTTCGAAACTGATATCCGAAGAGGCAAACGGCAGATCTGAGTCGTACCGATGGCTGCCAGTATGTAGTCAGCTTGCGAAATCGCTGTCACTGTGTACTTCCGTCACGTTAGATTTCCACTTGGCGCTCGCTCGGTCGCTAGATACTTGGTCTGGGGCAGCGACGACACTTGCAGAGGATTTCACGCTGTTTCCATCATTTCGCTTGACCACAGTGTGAACCCAGTCGTCACCGTCGTCAAAAGATGAATGTGACAAGGAACATGGGTTTTGATTCGACTGCATGCGTGACTGTAATGTTTCGTGTGAATGCTCCATGCCTCAGCCGTCAGAGTTCGGATTCATCACGGAGGAAACTTGAAGAAGATAGAATGCTCGGCTCCGGCATCATCGGCACACCGGGTGACAGCTTAAGTGTTCCTCTCCGGGACCGCTGATCGGTGTTTTCGGCTCCTCGTCGATCGGCTCAAGCGAACTTCAATTGAAATGTTTGAACGACAGGGCGCCGGACGGTCCAATCGGCAAGTTGAGCGGAGACGGGCAAGTTGCAATTGAAGTTCTATTTACTGACACTCTCTCTGAACGCAACATTTTCTAAACAATGCCTCTTCCGCGAACGAGTACCAAACGAGAGTTCTGGCCCAAGAGCTCGACGGCCCTGATTTGCCGATGGTGTTGCGGTCGACAGCATCAGCGACTGTTCTGTTTAACGTTGCGACGTTCCACTCAACCTACCTCGTTAGTCTCGACCAGGGGCCTGGAAGGCGCTACCTTGGACTTTTCATTCACAATTTGTTGGGGCAAGCCGATTGCATCCCAACGATTTCCGGTCGTCTTCCGCCGGAATGTCTCCGCGGAGCCGTACCGGCCCGGACGGCTTCTTCCTCATCGGCAAAGAGCTTGAGCGCCGGCCTGGCGAACTCGCCAACGTTGCTGCTTACACGGCTCAGCAGTCGAGTGTGGAGGAGCTAAGTCACAGCATAACAATCGCTCATCATCACAACCGCACGACTCTGTCAGATAGCTTAATTTACGGAAATCAAACAAACGAGGACAAGATGAATTGCTTCCTCTCTCCATTGAATTCGGTCCCGCAGTGTTTGCCATCTGCAAGGTGATCACAGAATTGAATTGGCACTAAGCGACGCTTTGAATTCAAGTAGAGAACTGAGGCGTTTCAAAGCGTTCCATGTTCAACGTCTTCAGACGTTCTGAACAGTGGCGACTCAGCGTAAACGACTGTCGTTCGTCTGACAGAAGTCCCGCGGTCTGCTCACCCGAAGCTATTTGTACGTCTGTTCGTTTGCATTCGAGTGTCGCTGGCTACCTTGTCCGGAGCGGGTACAAAGAATAGCTCGGAACGCGTTTCTGTGGTGGACAAATAATAATGAAAGCGTCTTAGCGGCCGTTGCCACCGCATGATGCACGACGGTGACAACAGCAATCAAGCGGAGGCGGTAACTGTGAAAAAAAAGAGAGCGACGGACAAGAAACGGCCACCTCATGGTTAGCGACCTCGCCTCAAATCCGTGGCAAGGTTGAATCATCGCGGTATTTTCTGGTCGGTCGTCAGAAGATCTCACTCGTGAGGCTTCTGACATCCTCCCTTCGAGCATCAGGCGACAGCTCAACAATGGACTTTTCTTAACGGACAGCGAATGAGCGTTATGAACAGAAAGTGTTCACGACGTCACAGAAGCCGCCGATCGCTCCCGCGGCTAGAAGCGGGTTCATGCATTCATGTTCCTTCCCACCCCATTCATCCCTGATTGAGCGTCAATTCGAACCCGTGTCCCCGACCTCGAAACCCGAGAATTTTCCGCCTGAAGTTCCGCTGATCGGAGCTCTTCCGCTGACTCAGTTTGAAAATCAGGCTATCAGTGAGCGTTGACCGGCCGTAACACCGTCAGGGAGCCCGTCGAGTTTTTGCACTCGATCTTATCAAATTCAATTATTCCGATCCTCACGTAGCCATGCGCTCATCCTCGAGTGTTTCTGTGGCGCTTAAGCGATTTTTGCCCCGACAATGACCTCGTTTTCACCCCTTGGCACCATCGTCCAGGGTGCCTCGCGCATTGTCTGATGAAGCTCATCAAGTAGCTTTCCTGCGTGTCATTAGAATCAGGGTACTATTCCTTGAGCGCTATCCGTACGCTTTTTTTGCGAAAGCGATTGCGATGTTTTCTCGCTCCGAATGACTGCACTGAGTTGTTCTGTATATTTTTACACTCATTCTGGCAGTGTGTACCTACGGTCCCCAACGGTACCGACGTTGTCAACACTGATGTCTTCAATGCGTGGTCGGACGTCGGAAACTTAATTGTGTACTTAAAATGCGAAGGACTGCGAAAATGGCATCGTTTCCAACTGCAGCCAGAAAGGTGAAAGGTCTCGCTTCTGTGGACCGATGTCATGTAGGAGAAGACTGAAGGGTTACCGTTGCTGTCTTCCATCCAGCTCCCGGGGCTTCCGGACATCAACGACGCAGTCGTCAACGGGAATGACGTGAGCGCCCAGCCGTCTCCGTTTTCTGATCGAGGCAGGGCAGCTCGATTGCTCTGAGCGTCAGCTCTAGAATGCGCTTGAGGTAAGTTGCGGTCGAACAGCATGCACAAGCGAGCGTTGAGAGTCTCATCGTCATCGGTCGACCAAAGTTCCAAAGGACCTAGAGTCCGGACTCCAGTCCGTTAATCAGCCGGCGGGAGACGTCTCACGAATCGATCTGCCGAACCGAATGGACGTTCAGTCGGTCCGCTCAATGATTTCGTTCCCTTTCCGTTCTAAGACCGTCCCAAACCGTTATTCAGCCCCATCTGATCTTCAGCCGCCCTTGAAAGAAAGTCACCCATTCTACAGCTGCTCCGCCGTGTAGAGTCTATCGCTGTCAGAGCGAACTTTTCATTCGACGGCCTCATTGTCCTCTGCAGAAAATCATTTCGCTTTTTTGAACAAAATAGCTCAGTCAGCCATCGAGGTCACGCTCTCATTGCGACCATTCAAATCCGACGTTCAAAACATGGACATCTTACTCTCAACCGAGAGAGAAATCATCTGTTCGAGGAGGAGAAAACATGGACAATTCCAAGCGGCGGCGGTATCATAGACCGTTTCAACTAAGAAAGAACTGACAGAGTTTCTGCTGAGATAAGAACGATATAATTCATGTTTTATGTGAGTCGAGGAAACCTCTCAGGAGAAGATGCTTATAATGGGAGAACGGGGTTACTGCCTACAGTTCAAAGACGCCGATGGGTCAGGCGTACTCGGCCCGTGTACACGGACGTTAAAAACAATGAAGCGCGCGCGACAGTCAAGCAAGCGACCGACCGACCGACAACCAGCTGCGTAACGATGTCGGATGAGCGAACGAACTGGAATCATTCCGTTCCAAACCAGTAAGTTAATTACTCTCCTGTTGCACAAGGAGTGACAATAATTGTCACCGGTGTAAGCAGAGTCTTGTCGACTGCCCCCACCGCCGGCGCCGCCGCCGCAATCGCGACCGTAAACCAGGAGAAGGGAAGGAGCCAATTCAGAAGCTCTCCCTGCATGCTTTCGCTGAAGCCAACACACGTTCATATCTGATATGCGCGAGCTAGGAGACCCTTCACACGACGACATTGTTCAGCTATTCGTTGCATAACGGTTCTTCTTCTTCGGACGGCAAGCGACTTCACGTCATTTGAGTCGTCTTCGCCATCGTCTCACGGAACCACACACAGCTGCTGAAAGATACTCCACCTGACTGACAAGTCCGTCCAACGGCTAAGTTTGCGAGCGGGCTGCGTAAGACAACGGCGGGGAAAAAACAAGAGAAACATAAATTGTCCATCATCTAAGAAGCCCTCCATGACCTTTCGCGGAAGGCAAGTGGACAAATAGGGTGTCGCACAATTATAATCAAAAACACTACATTCCGCAGACAAGCACACACAATCCCATCTCATGAAGACTTTTCCGTTCGCCGAGTGAACCGGGTCAAGCGAACGGAGCACATGAAGATCCGCTGCCATTCGACGAGAAAGCTCTGGGGAGTAACTCGCTCAAGGGAGGAAATAAGAATCCGGCATTTGGCAAAGGACGCGGTGGACAGGGGGCGGCCTGCGGGAATGAGTTCGACGAATGACGTCCCGCACAATGGGATCAGAAGATGGGAATCGGGAATTATCATCAGAGGCTTCGGCACGAGGTCAAGATATTGAATGCAGAGGGGAATTAGGATCGATTTCGTCGACAGGGAGGTATCGAAGCGATTGATTTCGGACCGTGGGTCCCATCCTACTTGACGGCAGCTCTGTGCCGGCAATCGCTCATTCGGGAATATGTTCTCTCGGGTCTTCGAAAAATTGCCGGAAAGTTCGTCACGTCGGTATAGGATCGCTCGTTCCGTCCGGCGGAAGGACGAAGAGATGAGGGATGTGACGTCCGGGAATCGTATTCGCGCCCCTTGACTCCGATCGAAGCTTGCCAACTGTTCTGTCTATCGGAGAGCTCTCCCACGGCTCTTCGAATGATTTTCAAATCGTACGCGTCCGTTTAATTGTCTCGCTGTTCTTCACATCTTGATGAGCAGCCAAGTTTCCCAGAAGACGAGTTGCTTTCAATGACTCGATGGCGATTCGAATGCGGTCTTCGTAAGC